GCTCAGAAGATTTCTAGAAATTAAGCTGAGTAGTATATAATATCCTGAAATTTCTTTCTGACCCTTTTTTAAAGATAGCAGCTTTGTTTGCTCTTCTTTAGTACTTGGGGACCTCCCCTGTCCTCCCAGAATTCTCAAGACAATTGCCAGTGGTTTAGAAATAGCTTCATCTAATTCCTTAAGTACTTACTGTAGGGTTCATTTAATCAATTTCTGTCAAGTTTAATGTATCTACTGTATCTAAATACCCTCTGTTCTTTCCACACTCCTGCCTGCACTCCTAGCTACTTGTTAAAATTAACTTCCTTGATCAGAATTCACATTTTTGTGAAGACTCAACCAAAAAATAAGATTGATTCTTCAATCTTCTGTCCTCATCTGTTATTTGCTCTCCTTTCTTATTTATAAATGGACTAGAGCATTAGTTTTCCTGCTACTCATTTCTAGTTTATGTATAGAAAATGGCCCAGTTGTCTTTTGTCCTTTGCTAAATGAAATTCATGTTGCACCTTTGCCTTTCCCTTGCATGCTTGCACTATTTATGCTAGTGGTTCTCAACTGGGGTGTCACAGTACCCTAGGATCCCAAGAAATTCTTTTAAAGGTGCTGCAGGATGCTGCACAATATTAGCACTGTTACATATGCAAACACCTATATGTGCTTCACAAGATAAACTCAGATTTCAAACAGGAATCTGTAGTGTCAGAACATTCTGCCCTGCTGTAGTCTTTCTGAGTTCTTTGTAACAAAAGAAGTGCTCTATTATTTTTGTGTAGTCAATAAACAAGTGAAATTGTTTTTTGAAACAGGGTGCCTCTAAATTCAGAAAAGTTTGGAGGGGTGCCTTGGGTCTACAAATTTATGAAATGCTGCTTTACATTCATTCCTATTTGTGTTCCTCTTTTTGTATAGTTCCTTTTTTATTTTCATCACCTACTGTTCATGTTGCATATACCATCATTTCTATACTCACCCAGTATTTCCACAGCATCCCCAGAGAGACAACAATTAACTAGATGGATTTCTTCAAGATCACCTAGTTCAGCAGAGATGGCTCTTACTATGCACCTCATTCCATCTCCAATGTCAGTCAAATGGCTCAAGTGCAACAAATGCAGCTTTTTCAAAAGCTTGATGCCTTCAGCTATGAATGGAATGAGAAAAAGCAGATAAAGGTGCTAAGAACACCCTGTTCCAATATTTGTTTACTGATGTTTTGAGTGAGGAAAAAAGTGGAGATTCATTCATAGGACATATCGCTACTACTTTTATGTTTATATTGTATAATAGGGGTGTGCGAAGTGGGCAGTATTTGATTCAGATTCGGCCCAACTGGGGAGACAGTGATTTGATTCGTTGATTTGGATCACTGTCCTGATCTGATTCAGCCGAATCTGAAGATTGGATTCTGATTTGGAGAATCAGCAATTTGGCCATAGACATAGCTTTATACGTTTTTTCTATGTATCTCGAGGTACCAGGCATGGCTTGTGAATGCTGAGAGGGTGGGGCAGATGGAACATCCCACGGGAGCGCGGAGAAGGGCCACCTGCATGCTTTGTGGTGGACTCCCCTGTGCCCCCCCGACTTGGCGATCAGCTACGGGAGAACCCCAGGTGCTCCCCAGACCCAGGAGGCACCAGTCACCGTACTTCTGGTCTACTTCCAGGTCTGCTACCGAGCACATGGAGGACCGCCCCCCACAACGCTCCCATGGGACGCTCTGTCTGTCCCACCATCTCAACGTTCACAAGCTGCACCTGGTACCTCTTGACTTGCATTTTAAGCAGGCTGGCGAGCCCCAGGGATCCAACCCTTCAATTCAATTCAATTCATTAAAGATTCTGGCTGAAAGCCATGCTCCCGAAAACATGACATATAACCACAATATAAATTTATATAAAAATAACAGAAATGCAAATATAATAATAAAATAGGGCCAACCATTATAAAAACATTGTTCCTACTCCTATAATTAATACAGGTTTCCCTTGCTTTATGCTGTACATGCGTTCCTGGAAAATGGCGCATAACTCGAATTTGCATATAGGGAACCCATTTTACAATGTAACAAATATGGATATATTCCAAGACCTGGACTGTACTGACCCCCAGATCCATTTCTACCACTTTTACAAGACAGTTTTGGTACTCACCAACAGCAGACGTTACACACAAGCACAGGGTGGTGGTGAATGTTACCATAACAGGGATGGCAACTACAGAAACACATATCGCAGACAATGAGGGAGGAACACAGATCTACACAGGAGACTATATTTTGGTGCACATCCCTCCCACAATGCACCTCACAAAGCAGCTGACTGCGGGCTTCCACCACATGGATTGCATAAGAGTGAATTTATCTCATATATAACGATTTTTTGGTATAGAAAGGGTTATTGCATAAGAGCGAATTCCCACATACAAAACCCACATAAAATGAGGGAAACCTGTATAATCAAGTACAAATACGGTGATAAATCGGATCATGAATCTATAAAAATGTTGTGCATAGGTCCACAATTAACACAGTAAAAAAGCAACTACAGTGATAAAGTTTATCAGTCATATAAACAATAAAGAATGTTTAGCTCTGATCGCTTCAGCCTTGTAAGCAAAAATTGCAAGATGGTTAACTAAATATGGATCTGTTTGCTGAAGGAGCCATATTAATTTCTCTCTATTTGAGAAGTATATCAATTTCTGCAAGAATGGTGATAAATATTTTTCCTCATGACATTATATAGAGGGCATTCTAAGACATAATGAACAGTGTCTTCCAAAACTTCTAAACAGGCTGGGCAACATCTTTTAGCCCTTGGAATGGAAAGTCTACATCCAGCCAAAACAGCTGTGGGCATCTGTTTGGTCCTAAGTCTAGTCAAAGAGGTTCTCCATTTATCATTGAGATCCAGCTGTAAATACCTTTTTCACCCCCAATCTAATTCCAAAGAATATAAAGAGAGTCAATGCAAGTAGCCCTGGCCACTGCAAAATCATTCTGCCTGGCAATATCTTAGAACTTCTGGAAAGCCTGGACCTTTTCTATGGGGGAGATGTATCTTTCATTGTCTTTGACATAATGTCCCATCCTGGAAAATGCAAAAGTGTAGGAAAGAAAAGGATCTGACCCTTTATGTTTGTTTGACTATGACATATATTATTTGGAGGACATTAATACCTCATAACTGTCACAACCCAGTGATTTTGGTGCCTCGGCACTATGGAATTTTCCTGCCACATGAGAGCCTCTTGCAAAGTAAAAGGTTTTCTGTTGCAGCAGAAAACCCCGGTGCAAGAGAGTTCCCGCCATTCGAATGCAAATTTGTGTCCCGCTATTGGCTAGTTCTAAATTATTCCTACGTGGCGGCTGGTAATTGACTTGCTGGCTGTTTAGAATTTCGTGCGACTTCCGCCCAAGTCGGAGAACTTTGAGCACACTGCAGAGTGCCTCTAAAGAAATCTGACTTGCAGCTGAGCTGATCGATAGACTGATCACCTATCGATTCTTCTCCCCGTCGCCAAGCGCAATCCCCGACATACCCTTGCCCCGCCGGCTTGATTTGTGGACGGATGAACTAGCCTGAGCCTTGCCAGCTGGAACAACTAACATAGTTGTTCATACGACCGGACCATCAGCGTCGCAGCTACAAGCGGCGTAAGTAAAGTTTTGCAACCAATTAAGCCTTGTCCGCCTCTCTATTCACCAGCCCGCCCAACGAACGAGTAATTATTAAATCACCTTGAGTCGGCTCTGGCCGTCCGAGACAATAACAGTAAGGGTCCCTTTACATGTTACATTTATGCCACAATTAATGTGTTAATTGCAGAATCAATAGCAAGGATACTATGCATGCACCCAATTTAAGGCACCATAAAATGGCAAACCAGCCATAAAAAATGTCCATGTATAATGTAGAATATTTGTATAATTGATTTCTAGGGTAACTCCAACTTAAACAGATGGCATGTCCCAGGGACTGTCCCAGAACTAGTGCTGACAATCAGCAGATTGTTGGCGCCAGCTACCAGGGCAGCCCCAGTTCTCCAACTAGGGCTTCTGTTGGCAGGAAGGACTCCCCTGCTATAGAGTTTAACCTCGCCTGACCAAACTCCCTAGTGTGGGGAAGGAAGGGCTTCCCCTTCCGGGGACTTTAAACCCAAGACCACACAGCTCCCTTTTTTCCTGGGAATGGGGTATTAGAGGCTCCCAGAGAGAGAAGCACTTCTGCTAGTGACTTTAAATTGTGAGCCCACAATTTGTAGTCCCACTGGACTGCTGCTGGACACTGAAGCTGTCAGGTGCAGGGTTTAAACTCCCTGGAGTAAAGCCCTTCAAAAGTCCCAGCCTCAATCCTAAAACAGCCCTGGTGCTATCCTGGGGCTAGGGCTAACAATCAGCTGCCATGTCACATGTGGAATGGCAGGAGGAATGATTGTTGGGATTGGGGATCAGATCCCATGGTGCCTTAAGATGAACATGTGCCAGGAGCCTAAGGTCATGCAGGTCAAATCAAGACCTTATTGCACATGTAGAAGAAATGACTTTTCTATCAACAGATGATAGAATATTCAGGTCCTCACAGTGCAGGAATGTGAGGCCAACAGTCTATACATTCAGTATCTGAAAAGCAAATAATTATTGTGTGAAATATTAAAGTGGATATTACCTAATTTTTTAGCATTGCTCTCATTCATCTTTATATTGTCAAAGATGAGCTTTTCAACATTAATTAGGTTGTGTATTCCATCAATAAGTCCACCTGCCAGAAAAGAACCGTAAATTAGTAAGTCACTTTGTCATTTTTTGCACTGTAACAAACTCATTTGTAGGTCAAGTTATAGTTCTGTAATAACAGTTCCTGTAAAAAGTAAATTAAAAAATTCTGTTTCCGAATATGATTCTAAATACAATCTTTGACAAGAGACTGCAGATTTCTAGCAAATTAAAATTTGATTAAATTAGAAAGTGTTAATGCAAAATTCAAACTAAGTTTTAAACAAGCAATAATCTGAAAATGGAAACTTGTGATTCCTGTTGAAATTGTAATTCATTACCATCTCTTCTTACATATGACAATGTATATAGTACTTCAGATATTATCTCACAGAAACAGTAATGCCTGTGGTTAAATCCTGCATAAGTGTGCCAGTTCGATAGAGGACTTTTTTTTAGTTGTTTAGACCTTTTTTTTTTAAATGTCGGCTTTTCAGACACCTTTGGTTTCTGCCTGACAATGAGATTTTTATTTTTGCACAGCCTTTGGTTTCTGCCTGAGAATGAGATTTTTACAGAAAATGGTGGCAGTGCAGTTTTGAACTTTCCAAAGTGCCCAGCGCAGCGGCACATCCATGTGTAAAAATGCCCCTAGTGTTTTAATAGAAATTGTCAGGAACTTGCAATTTGGCAACAAAATATATCCCAGATAGATGTTCCTTTTCACGTTCTGATTAAAATCTGTTTAATATTTGTTCAAGTTTTTTTTTTTAAGTACTCAAGCATATGCAATGTTTTATTGCCAGACAATAATTCTCTTCCCTATTGTAAACTTTCAGGGTTCTACAGGAAAAATGAGTGAAATGTCATATTAGATACAAAATGGATGCAGAAACTTTTGAGTGAGTGTATATGTGAAAGTTGCATCTATTCAAAGATGTAAATCAAATGGAAGAGACTTTGGAGCATAATAGTTAGTGGGTCTATGATGCAGCAGCCCCCCACTTATTTTCTGCCATGCTCTAACTGTGTAAGGATCTTGTGTTAAGTAGGCCCCACATCCTGTAGCAATGAGTATGCCCCTCTCCTAATTCCAGAAAACCAGCCACCTTACACAGAAGAACCTGTAAAATTTTTCTGTGCTTGGGGCTTGTTATTTCCTATCCTTTAGTGCTGGGTTGCAAATTTGAGAGGAAGGGAGTATTTTCAAATGTATTCAACATTAGAAATGTTATTAATTAATGGAACAACTCAAAGCGGGTAGAAGATATTCTATCATATGAAGTTATTAATTCTGGATATTTTTGTAAAATATGTGTGCTTGCTCACCCAAAAATTCTAAGTTTGATGCAGGAATTACTTTGTAAAAGCCGCTGGCCTATATTTTGGAAAAGGTTAGACAAGATTATCATAATAATCCCTTGTTAGTAGTCCCTTGTTACCTTTAATAGTCCCTTGTTGCCTTTAAAATCTTTGAACCTATTGTGAAAACTAAGGTAAAGAAACAGTAATATCTATGATAGGATATGCAGCAGCCGACATCAAAAAAGTATCATTGTTTCATTTATAGACTTTATCATCATTTACTCTAGATTATTTGTACTGGTGATCTTCCAAAATGTAAAAATCTCTCCCATGTAAAAATCTCATCTATGTATCTCCTGTGTAACTAAACATCCAGTTTTTTTAAAGGGCAGTGTTACAGAGATTTTGAACAACTTTACAGCAAAAATACTAAATCTTTACCCAACAAGGAGCTGAAATGACACTTTGCAAGAGTGCAAGGGCTAAGCATACAACAGACTGCAGTCAACTTCATCTTGAATATGGAAGTGTGGTCCAGTGATATTAGTAGTTCCCATAATGATCAAAGCCAGACATCTTCCACATTAAAGAAAAAGGTGTCACTGAACTACATGTTGCGGTCCACATTATTCCCAGAGATTGCAGTAGCCATTCTAACTACTCACAGATCACAATACTGTACCTTCTAGATGTTTGCTTTGCAGATCTCTTATATTTATTTTTTTCAGCTTTGTCATTGCTATGATTTGTTGTTCATCTTCTGTGGTAAGAGGCGTGGATTCTACAATAAGGTCTTGCATATTCTTACAGGTTTCAAGGACTTTCTTCAATGTTCCTGCAATGCCAGCACTTCTGTTGATTTGCAGGCTGAGACTTGAGGCAGAGCAGCATATTTTACCTAGATACTTAATATCATCTTTCTTTAACTTGTTAAAATTCTGGAGTGTAATCTCTAAAGCCCGAATTTTCTGGTTCCATTTGAAGAACAAGGAGACAGCCTTTTCAGGGATATAAATTTGGGAATTTCTTGTGTTCTCATCTTCCATGTTATCCAGTGAGGAATTTCCAAAAAAATCTAATTTAATGAGTTCCAGTGCACTGACACAATTAGGTAAGTGTTTAAAAAACCCAAAGAGGTATGTTGGGATGCTTTGAGTATTAATACATAGTCTCTTACCATGAAAAAATTCTTCAAATTCTCCACTCAAGCATGATTTTGAGCGACTTTCATAAAATAAGTTAATGACACATTCCACAAAAGAATTCAGGTTAGTTGCCTGCAAAACTTCATGCTGCTTTGCATTTTCCACCTTTTCAGGTTCTCCTTCCAAAGAAAGATTACTTAGTGAAGGCAGATCAAAAAGACTTCCATGCTGATAGATTGCTGTCAGATGCTTTATAACTATTCTAGTAGCATCTACAGAGGATCCACAGGTATAAAGAAGCAAATTATAGTAAGTAGATGTAATATCTGAAATATTGTCCATTTTTTGTAGGTAACTAAACCCTCTAGCCATCTCTGTGTCCTTGGAGGATGTTAATAGGCTGCAAAGTCTTCTGCCTGCAGTGTATTCCTGAAAGGATTTATGAAAGAATCGATACACTGGCTTTAGCCTTTGAGCTGTGTATTTATTTAGAAGACCTGAAGCCAGTAGTACTTCTTCTTTGATACTGGACAAATCCTCAGACTGAAAATCAAACTTTTGGTCAAGTATTCCATCTAGGGCTAGGTCTCCACAATGATTTATGCTCAGTTTAATGTGATTTGCTGCAATTGTTTCTGTCTTGTACTTATTTTTCTGAACCATCAGGTCATACAGTGTGCAGAAAAGTGCTGTTTGTGTGCTTGGATTAAAATTACTTTCACCCATTTGGATGGCACAGGCAATGACAACAAAGAGTGGTGTCTTCATAAGATTCTTCATGAAATTAGTTTCCTCTAGATGAATTAGCAGACCCTTGGCCAGCTCATATTCCAAGACATTGTTAATGAGCTGCCTAGCATTCTCCTCTGTTAGATCTCCTGTTTCAGCAATGAGTGAACCAAACTGTCTGACCTTACGAATAGACTCAGTCCTGGTGGTAACAATGACCATATTCTTGAATTTGTGGTTTTCTTTAATCATTGCTTCTATTTCTGGGCAGTTTGAAGGCCTGAATTCATCATATCCATCTAATAGAAAAAGAACCTTTTGTCTTAGTCCCAGCAACATCCTCATGAAGTCCTGCTTGGGTATGGTATATGGAACTGTAAGAAGCTGATCACATACAGTTTCATAAAGTCCTTCTTTTGCACTGCTCAGGCTGATAAAGAAAACAAATTTGAAATGAGTCAAAGCAGGGCAATTCCCAGAAGCCCATAGTATAGCAATTCTCTTCATGAGGGTTGTTTTCCCTTTGCCAGCTTCACCTTCTATTATGCAGGGGTTTTTTAATTCACCCAAAAGGATGCTTAAAGTGAGTTGCCCCTTCCTGGTGTTATGTGTATCTTTCTTCAAAAGCAAGATGTCTGTAAAGGTAGTTTTCAAATCAAAAATTATGTCAATATCACTGCCCAATGGATGAAATTTTTGGAAGAATGGAGACAGATACAAGTCCATTAAATCCTGAGCCAAGCCATCCAAGTCTGGTTTCACTTGCCTAGTGATACCTAAAACAAACAGAACATATATAGGCTGAATTAAATAATCAGTGGTTTTGTTGATTAGAATTGCATTTAAAATTTGATCTGCAGAAAACCTGGCTAAATTTGCATGTTGGTTATAGACCAAATGGTGATGTCAGAGACAGGACTTGCTTTACTTGTCCATTCAATAGAATAGGCTTAACTCGAAGTGATCAAATCACTCTTATGCAAAAGACCAGCATGGTGGGTGTGTCTAAATGTTCAATTAATGTGCAGTAAGGTTACTGTGCAGTAAAAAAGGCACAGTAAACTACACCTGAGAACATGTCTACACATGTACCCTGACAGGCACAGATTTGCACCCAACTGGAACAGCCCAGTCCAAGACTGCTTCTGCCCTTCTCTGCCCCACTGTGCCAGCCAGAGGGAGTTCCAGGCTCCCCCAGGTGCAAAGCCAGTGGCTAGCATGGGGCACGTAGGCCAGTCCCAATGTGCATGGGGCAGGGAGAGTTGTGTGGCTGCAGGGGCAACTGTCTCCTGGCCCCATGTACTTTTGCCCCTGTAGCCTCACAGATCTCTTGGCTCTGTGCACATGGGAATGGGTCCCCCTATGCACGGGGCCAGGAGACAGCTGACCCTGCAGCCGGCACAGGTTCCACTGCATGGGGGCTTAGCTAGGCAGCAGCAAAATTGCTCCCAGTTAGCATCTACACATGCGCTAATGGACAGTAACTACTGTGCGGCTAATCTACCTGTTTCTACAGGTACTAGCAAACTGCGCACTAGACTAATTTACTGTGCAGTAAATGCTGCGCATGTGTAAATGATGATGCTTTTCTACTCATTAGATTAGTCTCATGTAGAATAAAGTGTCTCCTGTAAATACACCCAGTGTGAATCCCATCAATTCCACCTCAGTCTTTACTTGAGGAGCCTTTAAACTGATTCTCTGCTCGAGTGAATATAGGTGTATCTGTGTGAACACAGACAAGTATCTGATGGGAATAGGATTTACTTGTTAATGAAACAGTAGCAAATGGATCTGAAAGGTTATTTAGGAGCAACTAATAGCACCTGAAAGTTGGACTAGGTTAGGGTGCCCAATTATTTCAGCTGGACGGCCGCTTAATGACTTTTGGTGAGCTGTTGAGGGCCCTACCCCTTGACAAGTGGCCTGCCCCCTGGTCGCTATTTTGTGACTGGAAATCCCACTCCTTAACCCCTGACCTTTGTCCCTGGAAGTCCCTCCCCTTGCCCTGGAAGTACTCCGGGGGGGTGGGGAGGGGAGTGCCATATTGGAACCAGAAAAAAAAACAAATCATATACTAAAAATCAAACATCTACCATATTTTAATTTTATTTCAAAAAATATTTTGTCCTGATTTACGTGTGTTTCCATAGTGTATATATAGGTGATTATGTAATAGCTCAAACTAAGCCTTACTCTTGTATATTGTATGTGTGGGTGGTCTGGGGTGTGGTTGGGGAGGTGGGTGTGGGCTGTGCATGTGTGGGGGGGTGAGTAGTTGTGAAGGGGTGTGGGGATGTGTGCGTATGTGGGTTTGGGATTTGTGGGGGGGTGGGGTGGTCTGTGGGGGATGTGGGAGTGTGCGCAGGTGGGGGTGTGTGGAGTTCATGGGGAAGTATAGGAGGTGGGTGTAGGGTTTGTGGAAGGTGTGTGGGGTGGTCTGTGGAGATGGTGGGGGGGTGGCTGTGTGTGCCCCCCCACACTGTCATTGGTGGTAGCAGCAGCAGCAGGTGGCGGGCCCTTGGGGCACTTGTGACCAGTGGCAGGCAGAGCCCCTAGGTGGCACACAACTGCAATTGAGTCCCTGGATCTGCATGTGGCAGCATGGAGCCAGCCCAATTGGCCTGTTGTTGCACATCTTTGGACAAGACCAGGCTAGGTCTGTGCCAACACATGGGGGTCTTGGTAATGCAGGTGGGAGCGGCACACCAATGGGCCGGTTCTGTGCCTCCATGTGGGGCTTTGAGTATTTCAGTGGCGAGCTGTACATTGGGGGCACAGAGCCAGCCTGGCCTAGTGGTGCACACTCCTGGCTACAGTGCTTGGAGCCCCATTTGGAGGCATGGAGCCCACCTGGCCTGATGGCACAACTCTCCACAGCTCCTGGTCCATGCACCATAAAGGTGGGGGTGGGGAGCTCCATGCTTTCATGTGGTGCTCCCAGCACTGCATCCAGGAGAGTGCACCACTGGGCTGGGCCAGGTTGGCTTCATGCCAACCACGTGCAGCTCCCCGCTGGAGTGCTGGAAGCCCCACATGGAGGCATGGAGTTGGCTCAGCCCTGACTGATAGCACGTGACTCCTGCCTGCACTGCTCAGAGCCCCATGTGCTGGCACAGAGCCAGCCTGGTTTGACCTGAAGGTGCATGCCAGCAGGTTGGCTCCATGCCACCACAAACAGCTCCCAGTGCTCAGCCAGAGCCATGTGGCATAAGTAACCTGAGGGACAATTGCCTGCTGCCGCTGCTGCTACCGGCAATGGGGGCTGTGTGCCATGTGGGAGGCACGTGGTGCGGGGGCCCACACCAATCCACAAACCCCACATACACCCCCACACCCACCCACAAACCCCACACCTCCACACAAACTCCACACCCACCCACACACACATGTGCCATTGGGCCGGGTAGGCTCCTTGCTGCCACATGTGGCTCCTGGCTCTCCTTCCAGGAGCTGTGTGCTGTTGGGCCAGTGGGGCTGGTTCTGTGCCAGCACATGGAGCTCCCGGCACTGCAGGCAGAAGCTCTCTCCCCACTCATCAGTTGTCCAGTTGTGCACCATTGTGCTCCATGCTTCCACATGGGGCTTCCAGCTGGAGTACGGGGAGCCTCACGGAGGTGGAGGCACAAAGCCTGCCTGGTCCAATGGCATGCCATCTCTGAAAGCCCAACTCTTTTTGACTTTCCAAGGCAGCTGTGAGCTAATAATAATTGTTTTTTGGAGGGCCCTGCAGACCAGACAGAATGGCCTGGTGGGTCAGGTCTGGCTTGCGGGTAGTATTCTGTCTGCTCCTGGACTAAGTGAACTTTGGACCACTTCAGTTTAGGAGTTGCCCTCATTTTCTTCAGGTTTGCAGCTAAACTTTTTTTGATTCTACTTGGTCTCCTTACAGTTAAATAGATGTAATGCAATCCAGGAAGCTTGACCCTTTGCAGACAACAATTTTAATTTTTCTTTTGTTTTAAATTTTTGCCAAGTTTTCCTAGAAGGTACAAATGCAGCTAAAATGAATGTATGCAAAATAAGAAAAGGGAGCTAACTCAGAGATGATTTTCAAGAGTAGTGTTTTGCAAAGTGTGAGGCATGCCCCTCTGGAGTTGTGTGAAACACCAGCTTGGATGTGTGGGGAAAAATATGTAAATTATGATGGTTAGACCTTTAATAAAAAAATGTGAGATTGTAGCTGGGGCACTATTAGTTCCGTTTCCTGCAGGGGAACTCCTCTGTCAAAAGTCTGACAAACACTGTTTTAAGGCATAACCTTGTTCCCATTGAAGTCAGTAAGAATTTTACCAAAGACTTAAACAGAAGATTGTTCATGCCTTGACACTTGCTCCCAAACCTCCCCAATTTCAGTGAGAGTAGAACATCTGCAACTTCTGTTGATTCCAGCAACTCCTAATATTAGATCCTTACCAGTTAGGTTTAAATGCTTTAAAATGTTTGCAGCTGACAACAAAGTGATCAGCTGCAATCATGCATTCACCTCATTGGCTCACCCTGCAAACATCTTCCAAATAATCAGATGCATTTCATTCTCTGAAGAACTATATGCCATTTATTACAAAGGGTTTCAGTATGTCCTGGAACTTTCAGAGGACGTTATTGTTTCTTTTTTTAAATTCGCTTTTGAATAAAATATAGGAGTTTTCAATGCTTAATTCTCTCTGATGAATGATTATATCCCATAAAAAGGATCAGAATATACGTATCTAAAAAATTAGTGTATTGCAAGTTCTGATGGTTGCCTCCTAAAATCATTTAACTCTTGGCATGAGATAAAAAAACAATGAACACTACAGATAAACTTTAGTACTTACAGTATCCATGCAATTCCTGATAGAGAAAAGGGCTTTGTTTCTCAAGTGCTTTAACCAAAATTCTGCAGGCTTCTGAACCTTTATTCAAAACCATGTAAATCATCATTCTTGAAGCATCCTGTTGAGTCTTTTCACAAACAATAGTATTCATTTCTTCACCAGACAGGACATTGCTGGCAAAAAGGTCATCCGCTATCTGCTTTACAGTGACCATTCCCATTCTTTGAATAAGGTGAACACTGTTCTTCTTAATGAAATCCACTGAGAAAACAGAATATTTTAGCTCTAGACCACTAGTTCTATTGTATGTTGTAGCTGCCAGGAAGATTATTGATTCTTCCATTGAAAATTTAGGAGTGCATTGTGCTACATATAATAGCAAATACAATATAATCTAATATAAATTATAGCAGATAATGTGCAGAGAACACTAGCACCTTATTAGGAATATAACTTTTAAAATAATTTTTAAAATGTGCATGGCCGACTGGCTGATAGACAGACAGACAGACAGGGTATGCAGCACAATGTTTTGCCAGTGAGACCTTGAAAGCAGCATGTTTCTCATGAGGAGTGAAGCCACATGGGCCAAGTCTTTCATAAATGGGTGTCCAAAATTAGCATCTTAAGTCCTTACTCAGGCACCTAAAAAAATGGCCTGACTTTGAAAATTGTTAAGCACAACATTTAGACAGTCACTTTTGAAAAACACATCACTTATTCACATATTTAAGTATAGACTTTAGGAACCCAGTTTTGAAAATCTTAGTCAAGTTATACTGGCTATGCCAAACGTTCTTTATTTATATTTCTCAGCACCACTGTGCAGTAGGTAAACATTAGTATCCCTACTTTACAGATAGGAAATCAAAAGCCATAAGAATGAGATATAAAGCCGCAAGGTCCCATGTAATCCAGTGTTAGAATCAGGATTAGAATGCACTTCTCTTAACTGCTAAAGCATGGATAAAATTTTTCAAAATGGCCCAGGAGTCCAAGTCTTAGAAACAGGGTTTAGAAGATACAGACACACACCCAATTCATTTAACACTTTCGTAAAGCCCATTTAGTGCCTGAATTCCCATTGACTTCAGTGAGAAATTAGCATGTAACACATGTAGGCACTTCTATGAATTCCATGAGGGTCTAGCTCAAAATTGACCTTGTTGTCACAACACCTAACATTTAGGCACCTTATCCCAGGAGCGTGAAAATCTCAGAAAATATTTTATCCAAGGTGGTGACAAACCCAAAGTTTTGTATTATAATTGGTTAAAATAGAGAAATTTAATTAAAGTTGCTTATAGTTTGTGACACTTCTGCTTGAAAGCTAATTTCAAGTTTATTTACAGAAAAACAAAATAACTTGTTTCACAATACATATTAAAAGGTTTTATTATATACATTTGTACATATAGCAATAAAATGTATTTCATTTAAAAGTTGTTTTATTTATCTGACTTCATTTTAAGTCTTAGGAAGATTCATTATCACATAAAATCTTTAATGTAAAATAGTCAGGTACCCAGGTCCTGATTGCCTTAATGTACAATAAGAAGCCATTGTATTGTGAAAAAAGGACTTACTTATTCAGAGTCAAGTTTTATAGCTTGAACTACGCAGCATGGAATACAGCATCTAAATTGAAAACAAAAACAGATCAGAACAGTACAAACTCTGTACAGTATCATGGCAGGGCACTGTTTGTGCCTGCCACTTTAAGACCTGAGCCAAACAGCCAGCAGGTGCTTGATTGCGGCAGCCATTTTAGATCCCTGGCTGCTTATATAAACAGATCAGTTCCCTGCTGGCAGCCCAGGCAGCAATATTGCCTGGCGGTGAGGCTTCTTGCATCATCCTGGAGGTGAGGGAGGAGCTGTAGGGGATGGCTAGGAGGCTCCTGGTCCTGGGCATGACCTAAAACTGCACCCTGCTGGGGGTAGGTGGCCTGGTGGGGCTCTCAGTGATGCAGGAGCCTCCAGAAAATGCCAGGCCAGTTACCACCCTGGTGAAAGGCAGGTCAGTGTGTCTTAACCCCAGCTCCCACAACCGGGTGGGTCATCTGCTAGTAGAGTCCAGAGGGCAGACCCCAGAGAGAGAGTGGGGCTAGAGGCTCAGAGGCCTGATGTAGAGTACCCTCGACTGGTCAGTGCTGGGGCCAGGACCATACCAGTTGTGCGGGCCGGGAGCGATCCGGGCCCTTTTTTCGCGCCGCGGGCTGTGGCCAGCAGCCCGGGCACGCTGGGTCAGAGAAAGCAGGCGACACGCTAGAATTAGGCATGGACGCATAATGGTTGATTCAAGATTGTTTACTTACACCGTAGATGGTTGCGGTGTAGGCTGGACAGTTTCCCAGGCAAAGCTCCGCTTAAATCCCCAGTTTAGGGACTCGGACAAAATCTGACTCACTCACACGGAGTTGTCGAGGCTCCGTGGGTCCTTTTTGCATGCAGGGAAGAGGGATACGTCGAAGATTGCGCTCGGCGACGGGGAGAAGAATCGATAGGTGATCAGTCTATCGATCAGCAGCCGCAGGTTAACTCTGCAGTGCGCCACGTGGGAATAATTTAGAACTGGCCAATAGTGGGGCACGAATTTTAATACAAATGGCGGGAACTCCTTGCAATGTGCCTTTCTTAGTTGCAAAGAAGAAATGCATCCTGCAAAGAAAGCTTCAAAACGGCGGGAAAATAATTCAGTGGTGCCAAAGCACACACAAAAACAAAAATCACACCTTTGGGTTGTGACACCGGTCAAAAGGGCCAGGGGCCCACTGCGAGGGGTGCCCAGAGCTGAGGGCCTGGGGTTCCCGACTGGCCTTGGAGGCGAGGCCAGGGCCTGTGTGGACAAAGGTCCTGGGGGGACCATGCCCGAGAGGGGAAATAGTTTCAGGGAGCTAGGCAGCCCTGAGTGAGGGCGGGGTAGGGCGCCTGAATGGAGGGATCTTAGAGGGGTCCTGATTGGAAGATTCTGGGGCCCAGTGACAGTAAGAACTATGGATGCCAACTGCGAGGCATGGGCTGCAGTGTAGGGAGAGCCACAGACAGAGCCCCAGGCATCAGAGCAAGAAAATGGGCAGCCTCCTGTCTAATTAAGATAATTAATTAGATAACAACAAGTTGTGGCAGGTGAGAAGGGCAGGCAGTTGGCCCAGAAACAAGTGGGTGGGCCAAAGGCAAATTGGCCCCGAGAAGACCCTCCTGTTACAAGTATGGTTCCTTCTAAAATAGAAAACAAAAGTGTGGCCAGTCATAAAGCTTTAATCTGAAAACAGTACACATGGCCTCGCATACACACCTGAGCTTGAAAAGCACAGTAATTCAGAATGCAGCTATCTTCTAAGAGGGTGGATTGATTTAAATGAAATTTTCAAATCACTGATTTGAATTTTTATATCACTGATTTGAATCAAATTGGGAACTGGAAAAGCTTGAAGTGAATAATTAATTTTCATCTTTATGTGCATTTTCACACATTATTTTCCTAATAAGAGATTTATTCTTAGTGTCTGGTAAAAGTACTAAAGCTAGGATGACCATATGTCTCGGTTTTCACAGACATGTCCTCTTTTTTGCCCCCCTGTTCTCGTGTCCAGGAGGGTTTTTAAAATGCAACCAAATGTCCAGGTTTTTGCTCTGCCTTTGCTTTCCCGGGCACTAGCAGCATGGCTGCTTGAGGCTGGAAGCAGTGGGCAAGGTAATTGGCTGTCAGAGGTCACATGCTCTGCATGTGGGCCCTGGTAAATCTCTCCCAGGTAAGAGAGAGAGAGAGAGTGCATGTGTGTGGGAGCTATATGTGTAGCAGGGCTGGAGGGACTGAATCAGGAGTGAGGGGTACTGGCAGGGCAGGGGGCTGCGGATCAGGAGTCAGGGACAGTAAGAGGGCTGGGGGGGGGCAAGGGGCTACGAGTCAGGAGAGAGGGACACCAGTAGGGCTGTGGGGGACAGGGGGCTGTGGGTCTGGAGTGTGGGGCACAGGCAGGGCAGGGGGAAAGGGGGCTGAGGGTTGGGTGTGAAGGGCATCAGCAGGGCTCGGGGAGGGGCAGGAGGGTGCGGATCCAGAGTGCAGGGTGCTGGCAGAGCTGGGGGTCTGGGGACTATGGGTCAGGAGTGAGAGGCACAAGCAGCACTGGGGAAATGGGGCTGTGAGTCAGGAGTGAGGGGTACTAGCAGTCACACTGCTAAGCTGCTGAATAGATTTTCTAAAAGCACCATCTGTGTTTAGATGCCTAAAATCTGTTCCTGTGTCCTTCAAGTTTTAGAATTAGTTGAGCTCAACCTTTCTTACCTGATTTTTAATTTTAGTAACTACTCGGGTAGTAAATTAACTGCAGAGTAGGGCAAATTACTATTCAGTAAGCATCTGCACATGTAAACAGTGATGCATACTGAGAAGTAATTTGCTCTACTGAGCAGTAAAGCATCTCCTGTAGCTGCACCCAATGAAGACTGAATATTAGGGATGTGCGAAGTAGGCCCTGTTCGATTTGGATTTGGCCCAAATCGGGAACGGTGATTTGATTCAGCCGAATCTAAATCTGAAGATTTGATGCTGATTCAGAGAATCAGCGATACGGACATAGACAGTGGACTTAGACTAACCTGCAAAGACTGAATCAGTTCAAGCTCAGGCTTTTTGAATGTCTGTCCCTATCCCCAGAGAAAAGAACCCAAAGCTTCTTAAAGACACAGTATACATGGCTTTTACAATCCCATGTGAGTTAAAACACTTCTGAAATTTCTGTTTTGCATCTGCTACAGCTTTAAATGTTTTTTTCTACATACCTTGAGGTACCAGCGCAGCTTGTGAATGCTGCGATGCTGGGGCAGATGGAACATTCCATAGGAGTGCAGGGGGGCCCTCCACATGCTTGGCAGTGAACCCAGAAGGGGACCGGAAGTACTTCTGGTTCCCTGCTGGGTCCTCCAGGGAGCACACTGGGGCCCCCCCTGGCACCCTTCTGGCTCAGTGACTGGTGCCTCCTGGGTCTGGAGGGGCATCTGGGGTCCCCCCGCAGCCAGTCACTGAGCCAAGGGGGCACCAGGGCAGTACACAGCCCTACCGAATATAACTTAGATACTTAAGTGACAACTTGACAGTTATGAATCTTAAATTGACTTGAAAACTTAAAAATGTTTCCCCACCACAATTCTATAGCTAGTTGAATGCCAAATCCTTTAACTCATTTAAATTTGAGCAGTGATGCAACTGAGGAGGGGGGGGGGCAGGATCAGGGCAATCACCCTGAATGCCAACTTGGGAGTGCAGGGGGAGCAGGCAAAGAAAAGCAGCTGCTGTTGGCAGCCGCATGTTGGCATTCATGATCTCGGTGGCAACCAAAGTTGTCCCTTCCGCTTTGCCCTGGCACCTATCTACATCCATACACTGCTGAATTTGAGGAGGGGTTATTGATACACCATGCTTTTTAGTTTTGAAATTATTTTAATAAATTCAAATAAGTTTAGGTCTTGGTACAAGTTGTCATACTTTCAGATTTAATATTTTTTAAAGATTTATTTTTTAAAAGAAAAAAATATTTAATTTAAATAAAAAATCATGAGGTGGTTTAAATTGTCTTGGCTCCATTGAAGTCAATGTAAACCAGGTCAGGATTTGCCTGAGGAAAAGCAAAAATTTATTTTATTCTGTGGTGCCTAGGTATTATGAGAATATTCTATTATGTAATCATATACTTTATTTCAGTTAATTGAGCAGTATTTTCTGTGACCAGTTATACATGTACAGTCCATTGCTGTCTGATGTTATTATAGTTCGTCTCAAATGTATTATTTAATTTTGTTTGCAATAACTTTACACTGCCTTAAAAATTAATTTTCATATGTTCTTTTTCCCTTACATGGCCAGAGTAGGACATGGTAGTACAAAAAGGTGGTACCTCCATGTAATTAAAATTGTCTAAACAGCATATTAGTCATTTTGTGTCTGCTTCTGATCCTACTAGAATCCTAAAGGCAATGGATGCTGCTTTAAATTTTAATGAGAACAGCACAAGGCTCTGGTTTATATCTGTCACCAGTCTTGACTTCATACCTTCTTTCAGCTGATGCAACTCCCTCCCTTATTTGTCACATTAATATGATAATAAATATTGGCACAATCTAGGAGCTACTTTTTCCCCAAGAAGCTCCTGGCACTCTTAACTTTACAGTTTCCAAATCTCACAATCCTTTATTATCATGAAAATGGTCTTGATTGGTCAACAAGGATGATTATTCTACTTCAGGAATGGAGAATGTGTTAAGTATGTTTACAGTCAAACCGTCATTAAGAGTAGTAGGAAATATCTGACCACTGCTACTTTTTATTGTGCCTGGAGAATGAGTTAGCACAAATTTTCCTGTAACAGAACATTAAGGTGACAACATCATATTGTTGCAAGAAATGTGGATGTGAAACTGTTTGGTACCATAGAGTGGCTTATGCACCTAATGCTGACAGACTGGAAGAGGGGAAATTTTCTCTCTCATTAATATTTATTAGTGTTGCAAGAATACTGGCAGATATTATCAGTGTGTTGCAGGTATTATCAGAGATCTAATGAATGAGGTGCTACACACAAATACTGTTTTAAAAGTCCCTGGTAAACAAACATTCAGTTGAAATCACCTCTGAAATCATGTGTGTGTTTTTAAAATGGTTTGAAGGAACAAAGTTGGACATGTAATAAGTCAGAAGTATACTGAACAAAGCAATTTTTCTGTAAAAATTCTTTTTCACTTATGCAAGCTATTTTTATAGAAAAAAAATCACACAGACCTTTTGAAAAAAAATCAAACTCCAACTGTAGAGATGCTCATTTGCATGTCGATTCTGTTGCTCTTTGTATTTTGACTGCACCCACTGACAAAACAATCCCCACCAAAATTTTAAAGCCTCTGAAATCCACAACAGAAGCTCTTTTCCTCATTTAATTTTGGACTTCATGTTTTTTTGTATGACTCAACTTGAAACCCTGGGTACCCAGGAACCATTGCTACTTTTGTCTCCGGTGGACAACCATGATTTTGCACTCAGTTCCAAAAATTTTACTTTAGTTGTAATTCCACTGACTTCTACAAAGTTACTCCTGATTTCCACTGCTATGAGAAAAGAATCAGACCTTGTATTTTTAAGTATTCACACTAAGTATTCCACATAATGCAATAGGTTTTATTTACAGTTTTCTAAAAAAACCCCCACACAACTCTTTTCTTTGATACAAAAAATACTTAATGTAAACAGTAGTACTAAATCACCCAGGCTAGGGACAGACATTACACATAAACTGGTTTAAGTGATCAGAAAATGGTATAAACCTGTAACAGAACAGACGTTCAGTGCATATAAACCAGTTTCAAAATGGCTGAAACTGGTATGAGATAAACCTGGTTGAATGTAGTAACAGACTTAACTGTTTGGGTTCAAACCGGTTTATGCAATGTCTGTCCCAGACCCCTTGCTGGTTTAAGATAAAGCAGACACCCCCAGTAGCCCAGCATGCTCTCTGGGCTGGGTGGAGCTCTCTCCTCCACAGTGGGGCTGGCCCCTCCCCTCTTGCTCTCTAGCTGGAGCAGGCCCTGGCAGAGACACTGGCGGGCATGCCCCGGTTAAGGCAAAGTGGGCAGGGAGGGAGTTAATTCTTTCCTCCTTCCCCTCTTCCCCCACCTGAGCCTGGGTCTCCCTGTCAGCTGGGGAGTAGAGGAGACAGGGCTGCAGCAGTGGCCCTAGAGCTGGCAGACCCCAGCTGCAGGGAAGGGATGGAGGAAGGAATTAACCCTTCTCCCTGCATCTTAATGGGGCTCCCTGCACCTCCCCTTCACCTTAATGGGGCTATGCTGGGTTGGTTGTCCCGCAGGGTGTGGGGGGGGTACTCTTCCCCTTCCTCCTCCTTCCCCCAGAGGGGCAGCAGGAGCATGGAGCTCAGATAGGCAGGGTGTGGGTGGGCGTGCAGGGGCCCCCACACACTCGCCCCATGGCGTGCAGCCCCGGATACCTGGCAGCAGCAGGTGGGGATGTCAGGGACTGGGGGGGGGCTTCCTCGTGTGAGTGTGGAGCTGCAGGCCCACAGCGTGGAGCCCCTACAATAGAGGCAGCCAGTGCTGCATTGGGGGCTAGGAACACAGCCCTGTGCAGCCTGCCTGGCCACTTCTAGCCCCAGGGCTCCACACTGAACGCCTGCAGCTCTGCACTCACGTGGGGAAGCCTTGCGCTGGACTCTGCGGCGAAACCAGGGATGGGGCTCCCTCCACTCCTGGCACAGTGCAGGGACTGCACAACCGGGAGCAGGGGAAACAGGAGGTTCCAATGCGGGGCTTCCCCCACTGCCAGGGCTGCAGCTACAGGTGCAGGGAGCAGAGCCTCGGGCATAAGGCAAGCTCTGCTCCCCCCTCTTTGCAGTGCTGCGCCTGCATCAGGCAACAGTGCCCTGATGTCCCCACCTGCTGCTGCTGCCAGGTAGCGGGGGCTGCACACATGGGGGAGTGTATGTGAGTCCCTACAGCCCCCACCTCCACACCCTGCCCAGCTGAGCTCCGCACTCCTGCTGCCCCTCCGGGGAGAGGAGGAGGGGGAAAAGTTTCCCCTAGCACAGAACAGAGCCTCCCCCTACCCTGGAGGGGAGGAGTGGGAGGAAGAGTCTCCCTCTGGGGCTGGGCAGCAGCCCATAGAGGCCCCCCTCCCCACCTTGCAGCAATGGGGGAGAAGCAGGGGGAAGAGTTCCCCTCTGGGGTCAGGCAGCCTCACAGAGCCCCCCTCCCCACCCCACAGTGGCTGCAGGGAAGGAGGAGGGAGAAGAGTCCCCCCCAGCACTGAACAGGGCCCCCTTCGTGGCCCTGCGGTGGTGGGGGAGGGGGAGGAGGGGAAAGGTTTCTCCTCTGGGGCCAGGCAGCCCTGTGTGCCGGGATTGCTCCCAGCTGTCAGGGAGCTGCTGGGGTGGGCCTGCCGGGGCCTGGCCATGCCCCTGCTCCTCATCTCAGCTTCCCTGTGGAAGGGAGGGCTGCTTTAGCACCCCCGGGCTTCTGGTTTGAGCCACTGCAGGCATGTGCCAATCGTCTATCCACTTGCAAACCAGTTCACTCTCTGCAGGTTAGACTAACCTGCAAAGACTGAATCAGTTCAAGCTTGGGCTTTCTGAATGTCTGTCCCTATCCCCAGAGAAAAGAACCCAAAGCTTCTTAAAGACACAGTATACATGGCTTTTACAATCCCATGTGAGTTAAAACACTTCTGAAATTTCTGTTTTGCATCTGCTATATCGGGGGGGGCAAAATCCGGCCCGTGAACCAGATGTGGCCTGACAGGCCATTTTATCTGGCCCGCGGAACCCCTAAAAAAATTTGAAAATTAATATTTATCTGCCCCTGGCTGCCTGTCATGTGGCCCTCGATGGCTTGCCAAAACTCAGTAAGCGGCCCTCCGCCCAAAATAATTGCCTGCCCCTGTGCTACAGGCATTCAAGGGATAAGCCAGAAATAAAAAAGAAAATTCATTACCTAAATCAGGTGGCTCTCAGTCACAAAATGCTCTCAACAGGCAACCAGTTTTCTCACTCTGCCAATATGTCCCAGCTGACTACTGCTTTTCAGTACTTCTATTTTCTGCCTGTTTAGGTTAGGCAATACCCTGTATTATTGATGACACTATGTTGGCGTTCTCAGTGTAGCTCTTTCTCAAACAAGTTCTGGTTTAATTACTGGTGTTACGGGGGGGGGACAAGGTTAGATGCATCCTCATTACTTGCAAAAAATGTCTGCTAGACTTTACACAAAGGAGATGCCATACTGGCACCATCTGTGAGATACTTGGTGTACCTCTTTCCAGACAACATAGACTATTTCCTGCATTTCATCTGTCAGCTCCAGACCCTCCCTCAGTAAGTAGCACATGGTTCTGGCCACTGCTACATGTGACTTTCCACTGCACTATAGAGGAAGCCTTGCAGAATGTTCTGCTGAGTTTTTGTATTGCAAGTTCCTTCTAAAACAAAAGCAGGGCTAAGAAAACTATTTATAGAGGCTACACCAGGGGTGGGCAATTATTTTGGGCAGAGGGCCATTTACTGAGTTTTGGCAAGCCATCGTGGGCCGCATGACAGACAGCCCAGGGCAGATAAATATTAATTTTCTAAATTTTTTAAGGGCCCCACGAATGGGATAGAATGGCTTGGCGGGCTGCATCCAGCCCCCGGGCTGCATTTTCCCACCCTTGGGCTACACTGCAGGTAACCTTTAAGCTAGGTACCCAGGGTGTTGCTTCCTAGTGCCTTATCAAACTTTTCTTTCTGCCATGCAAATATATCATCCCTGTTATTAAAAACATCTGTTGTAACCACCACTTGTACACATTGTTATACATGGATGCATGTAGATAGATACAAGCAAATATATAGAATGGCAGATTTGAACTATAATGTTTTTATAACATTTTGCTCAGTATATCCTCCTGGGCCTGATATACTGGCTAGATTTGATGCTGCAAAAGTAGTATGGTGCCCCCTGGTGGCATAAACCAAAAAAAGGACACCAGTTCTTTAATGGCATCTACAGAAAAAGATAATTTTTTACACAATGTTTTTTATCAATGTGAATACCGAGGAAAAGACAAAAATGCTTGATTGAAGTTTCTGTACAGGTCCTCTGTGTCTCTTACATGTCATGAGATGACATTCAGGGAGTAAGTCTGCCTGGCTGCAAAATCTGCCCAGTGTTCCTGGTCTAAGCATGCATGGGTAAATGTTTTTCTTTCATTTTCTCTGACATCCTGTATATTCACTAGGGCTGCGTGAAACTTCAGTCACTGATTCACTTCGGAGGAGATTTGGCGGCCGAATCTCCGTATCTGAATCAAATCAAATCAGGAGACCTGTTAATCTCTCCGAATCGAATTGGAAGCCTCCAATTCAATTTGGAGAGATTCAGAGAGATTCAACAATTTGGACATAGACACAGCTTTATATGTTTTTTATACATACCTCGAAGTACCAGGCAGCTCATGAATGCTGAGATGGTGGGGAGGATGGAGCATCCCATGGGAACACGGGGTGGTCCCCAGAGAGCTTGGCAGTGGGCCCAGAAGTGGACCAGAAGCACTTCCAGTCCACTTCCAGGCCCACCATGGAGCATGCAGGGGACCCCCCCCCACCTCCTGGCTCAGAGACTGTTGCCTTCTGGGTCTGGGGGGCACCCAGGGTCCCCCTATGGCTAATCACCAAGCCAGAAGGGTGCAGGGGGGAACTCCGCATGCTTGGCAGTAGACCAGAAAGTGTACTGGAAGTACTCCAGTCCACTTCTTGATCCACCTCTGAACACACGGGGGCCCCCCCCCCCTCCTGTGGGAAGCTCCATCCGCCCCACCATCTCAGCGTTCACAAGTCATGATGGTATGTCGAATATGTTGAAAAAACATTTAAAGCTGTGTCTATGGCCAAATCGCTGATTCTCTGAATCAGAATCGAATCTTCCGATTCGGATTTGGCTGAATCGAATCGGGACAGCAATCCGAATCAGTAAATTGAATCACTGTCTCCTGAATTGGGCTGAATCCGAATTCTAATCAAACATGGCCCACTTCACACACCCCTAATATTCTCTCTGGATCTACCTAAGAAGAGGAGGAGGAAATTTTGTTTCCATTTTAATTTTTCGGAGCCACGTTCAACAAATAAAATAGGAAATGTTAATTAACCTTTTTTTATAAGGGGGATTATGGAGGTAGAGATTAAAATAAGTGACTTGCCCTAATACATAAAGTAAAAATCATAGTCAAAACCAGGGCTGGTTGGAAAATAGGAAACAGGCTGTCAAAGTCTGTCTGCCAGAATGTATCCTTTTTCATTAACAACTGTATAGAAATTTTTCAACTAGCATTCCTCACAAAGAAGGTACCCTGACTGCTAGGCCCACTGACAGC